AATTCCCAGAAGCCTTCACCACCATTTAGGCTGGCTGGGGTTTCTGGGAGTTGCAGTCTCAAGAACACCTGGATTATCCAATCCAAAGATAAAAGAGGTGATACCTTTATTTAGACCAGTGGTTCTTAACCTTTGTTACTCGGATGCTTTTGAACTGCAACTCCCAGAAACCCCAGTCAGGACAGCTGGTGGTGAAGGCTTCTGGGAGTTGCAGTCCAAAACTCCTGAGTAACCCAAGGTTAAGAACCAGTGATTTAGACCACTGAAAACAAAACCTGCCATGCAAGCTTTTGCGAAGAAAATCCACTTCCTCAAATGTAGGGTAGCAAAATTATGAATGAAAATGTCAAAACACCCAAGGTTGGGAGTCACTGCTGTAGCGTATTCCCTTCGAAACACAGGAAAGGCTTCAGTGGATCCCCCTAAACTTTGAATTTCAAAATGCCATAGGATAAGAACCACCACACCATTAAATTGCTATGAATTGTCTTCCTCTGCAGCTACAACTTCCTGCAAAGCCACGTAGAGGCTGGGCTCCTGAGAAATGTGAACAGGAGGAAGACCTCTCTGCCTGATAGCTGGCTGCAGAGCCAGAGGTTGGGACGCCATAGGATAAGAACCGCCACACCATTAAATTGCTATAAACTGTCTTCCTCTGCAGCTACAACCTCCTGCAAGGCCATGTTAGAGGCTGGGATCCTGACAAATGTGAACAGGATGAAGACCTCTCTGCCTGATACCTGGCTGTGGAGCCAGAGGTTGGGAGTTTGATTCCCCACCGTGACACCTTGACATGGGTCGGACTCAGTCCAGTTCTGCAGTCTTAAGATTATTCTAAGAATATTATTATGGGGGAAAGTCCCTCCTCTTCATCAGCCCCCTCTTCAAGGCATGTCTTCCAACCTTCCAAAAGTATAGAAAGAAAATAAGAGACGAGACCCTTTCTAGGGTTCTCTGGATGAAAAGCCAGGGATGTGTTCTGCACCGAATGTAGTTAAAATAAACATGCATCTGCCCCCAATGTTTTAAGCCGACACACACCCCTGTCAGTAGAAATGCGGCAGGCCCTGCTTCTCTGCCCTGCCCTGAGACTTTGGATCTCAGTATGGCAGATTTCATGCTCTGCTCAGGGACTCTTCGGAAGCTCTTTCTCATCTCAGTGCATTCCTTGCTATTCCTCTGATACAGCCCAGCCCAGCCAGCAAATCCACTCCAGGTTTTAGACTGCTCCGAGGGGGGCAAACCTATTTTGGAGACTGGGTTCAGCACAATGGACAGCTCCCACAAAACTGGAAAGAAAACCTGCGGTGGATTCACAGCCATTCCCAGATGAAGGAAGAGGCATGGCTTCTGACTCAAGGATGGCCACCTTTATTGTTTGTCCCTTAATTTTCTGTTGAAAAAAAAAATCAGAGGGGCCATGGTCCCCAGCGGAGCTGACGTTTCCCCATGGAGACAGCCTGAGGGTCTGGTTGCTGAAATCTCCAAGTGAAGGTGCGTCCAGGATGGCCAGCGATGGGTCAACCGACAGCTGACTTGTCTCGCCACAAAAGAGGACAAAAAAGGGGAACAGGTTGGCCCCAGATTACACTCATTTAAATGTACAGACGCAATGATCCTTAAGATAATTTAAATAGAATTGCAGTATATCTCACATGAGTCGGGATGACTGTGACCAGGTGACCTGCTATGGAGATTACTGTCCAGGTGCTCACTGTGGATGACGGGCAACCTCAGGGTGGATGCTATGCATGCCATGGTATCTGTCACCCTCTAGTGTCCACTTCTGGAAACTTCATATTTAGAAATATATTTTTCTAGGGTTTTTTTCTTTTCTTTTAATATTTTCAGGCCATGGATAAGTGAATCAGCAGATGATAATCCCACAGATAAAGGGGGTCCTACTGTAGATCTTTCTCTTTAATTGAAACTTAGTCTTAACAGCCTGTCAAAAAGAGAACCCTCAGCAGCCCTTCAAATGGTGGACTGCCTTTAAGGACACATACCTGCTCCAGGTGAGAAAGATCCTCAGTTGAAGCCCTGGAGGGACCATACCCATCAGTGTATATAACAATCCTCAGCTGATTTGTTTTAGGTCAGTTTCCAATGTCCTTAAAGCAGCCTAGAGACATTAAATGAGCAAGTAATAAGAGTGCCCAGAAGTAATACAAATCATAAAGCAGCAGTAAAGGCAGCATTCCATGTCTAAGTCGCACTGGCCATGTGACCACGGAAGATTGTCTTCAGACAAAAACGCTGGCTCTCTGGCTTGGAAACGGGGATGAGCACCTCCCCCTAGAGTCGAACACGACTGGACAAAAATTGTCAAGGGGAACCTTTACCTAAAGGCAGAGAGGTTAAAATAGTACACAGGTTAGGAGCCGAATTTATCAGCTTGGCAAACTAATCCCAGTAATTAAAAGCAAATAGACTCACCCACTGCTTTATGTCTCCTAAAAGTAAATTCAAAAGTAAACTGAAGACCTGGTCCTTTGGCCAAGGCCTTCCCACCAGCTAGTCCTTAGCTCCTACTCTCGTCTCTCCCATCTTGGATTTTTATATGTTATTTTTGTTTTATTTTTACTGTTTGTTTTAATCCTATGTGTTTGATTGTAAACCGCCCAGAGTGGATTTATCCGGATGGGCAGTATACAAAATCAAATAAATAAATAAAATTCCAAGAGACACCTATTGCTAGAAAATACTGAAAATACAGTTTATTAGAAAATACTAATTGCTAGAAAATACTGAAAATACAGTTTAAGGTTCTAAATCAATAATCAGAAATGGGAGTAAGCTCCATTAAACTCGTTGGAACCAATGTCTAAGCAGACATACATTTTAGGTCTGCAGGTCTCTGTCTGCGTAAGGCGTGTGCTTGGAGGGCCAGTGTGGGGTAGTGGAGAGAGTGTCGGACTTCGGCTCGGGGGATGTGGGTTCAGACGGGAAACTTGGGGGAAAGACCATGGGAAACCACTCCTTGAACATCTCTCATAACTATTAGCTTGCCACAAATCAGGAGGGTCTTGATTGCACATTACCAACCCACGAGCAACCTCTAGCCCTTGACAGCTCCTCTCCTGCTCCCTGAGCATCAGCCAGGCTGGCTGCAGAGAGAAAAGAACTGTAACCTGAGTGTGGGCTTCCCAGAGGCATCTGGCCAGCCATGGTGGGGACAGAACGTTGGAGCCAAGAGCACCTTTGGCCTGATTCAGCTTCCCCGTTCTCCTTCACCCTCAAGGAAGCGGCAGAGGCCTCTCCAAATCTACTCCCACACTCCAAGCAGCGAAACCAACAAATGAAACATAAATGCCTTTTCTTCATTCGTAACCCGCCTGCCCCCAGTTGCTTCTTTCTTTGATTCCCCCCGCAAAAAAAGAACACTTTAAAGATACAAAGGGGAAGAAAAGAAGAGGAGGGTGAAGAGAAGAAATTCGATTCCTTCCTTCATCCCTCCCTTCCTTCCTTCATCCCTCCCTTCTTTCATCCCACCATTCCTTCCTCCCTTCCTTCATCCCTCCTTTCCTCCCCTCTCCCTCCTCCTCTCCCTTCCTTCATCCCTCCCTCCCTTCTTTCCTTCCTTCCTCCCTTCCTTCCTTTTAAAGGCATGTGGCTCATCAGTCCTCCTGTTAAGCTAGGCGGCTGGAGGGGAGGGAGGGGTGTGGGGATCTTTTCACTTAGATAATTACACTATAATAATCTTAGAACTGCAGAGCTGGAAGGGACCCTGAAGGATCATCCAGTCCAGCCCCTCTCAAAGAGGCACTGTGAGGGATTCAAACTCCCAACGGAGTGGAACTGGTGAAGCTACTCCTTAAATATCTTGCTTCCCTTGAAAGCCCTCTGAGGGTCGCTATATGTTCATTTCAACTTGATGGCACAAAACAACAGCAACGACAGCAACAAACCATCTGCAATGAGAGGAGCTAGAGGTCAAACCGCCCAGAGCAAACACGTCCTAGATGGGTAGTATATAGGTTTAATAAAATAAATAAATAAAATAAATAAACCTCTTCTGGTGCATTTCATCTCTAGGTCTCTGCTGTGGGAAGACCAGTTTGCTCAGCTTCCCTTTCCACTTTAATACGTTTCCACATGTCCCATGGCTCAGCATCCATGTTGGGAAAAAGTGCTAATGTGGACATTTGGTTAAGGCTCCCTTCTGAGGAAAGCGGATTTGTGGAGGCGGGGGAGGTAGAGAGACAAATCAATATCCATCCTAGGTTTTATACAACCATTGTTCCAGTGACAGACTGGAATTGTTTACTCAGCATTATCGGAAAAGACCGCTTCGTTTGTTTGGTTCTGAAGGGATTTTAAAGGGAATAGACTGGAAAATTCATTGAGGAAAAAATAAATGTCCAAGACTGGTTTGAATTCCCGCTCAGCCACGGCAGAGTGACTGAGGGAGAGGAACAGGTAAACCCGCTCCTTGAATATCTCACTCATCTTGAAAAGCCCTTTCGGGTTGCTGCAGGTTGGTTCTGACTTTACAGCGCTACAAGACTGGCCTACACAGCAAGAGAGAAAAGGTTTTCCCCCTAGGAGGAAAAAAACCCCTGCAGAAATGATCAAAATTAGATTCTTGGCGAAGCAGAAATATTTTCCAAATAAATAGTGACAAGATTCCCATTATTTCAAACCTCTCCCTGGATTTGGTTTGGTTTAGTTTTTATAAGGATCTGATCACTTTTATCCAAGGACGCAGCTCTTGCAAATTAACTGATTCGTTCTATCGCTCAGTCACATTTTTCAGTCCCCGACGCGGCACGAGCCACACAGACAGCAGCTAAGTAAAGAAAGCATTCCTGTTTCCAACACTTAACACAAGGCGTGTTGGCAGCACTTCTTGGACTGCCTTCTGGGTTTGACTTCAAGATGCAAAACTTAACTGATGCTCTTCGCCACCCCTCTCTCCTGGTTTCCCAGACTCTGCACCAGACTGTGGTGGTTATTTCTGCAAAAAGTTCTCAACCAACTACGGTGGGGGGGGGCGGCAAGTAGGGAAGATATTCTTGAGAACAAACAAAATGTGTCCACCCGGCTGTACATCTTGTGATCACGGCCGTCTGGTCTCCCCAGCGTGTCTCTGGTGGTGCAAGTCACCGATGCTGGAGCCAAGATGAAAAAGAGCAGAATGACGTGTGGGGAAGAATCCAGACCCAGGATTTTGATGCCAACTACTTTTCTCTCTTAAGGGGATGGAGGGGGAAAAACAGGTGAGTGTGGCAGCTTTTGATCTGCACAGCCCTGCTCTCGTGAGTCCAGACTTTGACAGTCGCCTTGAAGCTCTCTGCCTGGCAGTTGCCTCTTTCTCGCTCCCCCTTCCGTGTGTTTGCAGGAGGAGGAGAAAGGAGAACTGGGGGGGAAAAGAGAGGAGAGAAAGCCAAACCATGGGGAGGAGGAGGTAGGAGGGTGCCTGCTCTTCGTTCTGTCTTCTTTTTGCCTTCTGCCCTCCCGCCTGTACCAAAACCTCAGCAGCCACCTTGGAAGCAAGAGCTTAAGATGGGAGGCAGCCCCTGAAACGCAGGACCTGAAGGTGCCAGCTCTCCTAGGCAAACCTGCCTCCCTCTCCCTCTGGAAAGTCTGGAGGCGGCGGGAGGGGTGTTGGCATGTTCTCTTCTTCTGTGCCGTGGAAGAGCCAGCTCCCAAAAAAAGCCCTGGGTGCCGGGTCTGGGAAGAAGATGTCCTCAGCCGAAGACAGGACCCACCGGCTCCTTCTCTCTTCCTCCTCCTGCTGCTGCTGCTGTTGCAACCTTACAGGTAAACTCTCTTCTCTTCTGTATCCCCCATCCGGCTCTTAAGTTCTTCTGGGAACAGCATCCTGTATAATATATAGAGCAAACAAGCCATTTGAAGCCTGGATTTCTTCTTAGTATTTTACAGCAGTTAAGTTAGGAGAGGAAAAGAAGTTCTCATTTGTGTGTATGTGTGCATGTGTGTATGTTCACAACATGGCTCTTGTTCTGGTTGACGTGGAAATGTGGAGTGCACTCCCTCCCTCTCTCTCTCTCTTTTCTTTTAAAGAGTCTTTCTCTCCCAAAGACGGCAATCACAGCGCAGGGAGAAAAGACAGGAGGACCGTGGGGCACTTAGCCCGGAAGACGGCTCACCCAGGGTGATGGGCATCTAGGACCGACTCAGCCAGAGACGGACCGAGCCCCGTGCCTGCTTCAGGGTCTGATCACTTCAGGGTCCTGGCATGTAATCTGCCAGGCATGCAGCCTCAAGAAGAGTTCCAGCGGTCACAGGGCGCCTCTTTTCAAAGGATGGGTTTCTGAGTGTGACCGTTTTGTAACTCTGGGTGTCCCGGAGATCTCTTTAGAGGAGGTGGGAGCTTCGAGGTTCTCTAGTCTGACCCACGCAGGGGAGCTAACCACATCACAGGGTGGAGAGGGATTGGAGGGCCATCAGTGAAGGATGTTCTAGTCCTCGATACCCAGCCCCGAGAGAAGGCTGGACTAACTGGCCTTTGGGTTCCCTCCCAACTCTGTGTTTTTGTTATTCTATTGCTCTGCGAGGCCCATGGGCCCCATTTTAAGAACGAGCCTTTCACCAGAACTTAGCAGGGGTAAAACTCTCTAACCTAGACTTTCCAAGGGTTAAGAACAAGTCCCTTCTCCACAAAAGAAGCCACCACCCACAGGGGTAGCGTCCCGTGGGGTGGGTTTCCGGGAGCTGGTCCTCCCACCCACAGGAGGTACCTAAACAAAACAAAAACAAGAGGAAAGTTGTTTTTTAAAAATCAAAGACCTCCCCCCCCACCCTGGACATTCACTCCTCCTTTCATTTTTGTGAGTTCGATTTGGCTGGATTTGGGGGGCGGGCTCCACCTCATGCCATCGCAACATAATCCCTGTGAGTCTTTAGAAATAAAACATGGCCCTCTTTATTTTTTGCGTCTCTTTCCCTCATTCCTTTCTCTCTTTGATTGCTGATCATCTAGGGGCTGCAGAATCAGACGGGGGGGGGGGTTCCGCCATTTGCCCAGGGCCAGTTGAAAGGCGGTTTCTCACGCTGCTGGTTGTTGATGGCTATAAATGCCTATGGTGTTCCTTTATCAATATTACATTAATTAGAAGCCACAGGGTTATTTCATCTCCCGAAGATGAAACTCTTGCCCTCTAGGAGTTCCCAGTCTAAATACTGGCTCGTGAAGGACACCAGTAAAAGAACTCGAATCTAAAGCGACTTGGAAGGGATTCATGCATTCCACTATTTCTTTTCTATAGGGCGAACCTCACCATTACCTTGTGAATGTCATGATTCACTTGTGGTTTGCTGCAAAATTTATACACAAAAAATCTATTGTGTATAAATAGATGCAGATATAAATATGATTATAACATAACCATGTGCTGTGAAGTCGATTCTTTTTAGGGTTTCCTAGGTAGTACTCAGAAGTGGTTTCCCATTCCCTTCTTCTGGGGCATTTCTGGGACTGTGCAGCTGGCCCAAGGCCACCCAGGCTGGCTCTATTTGCAGGAAGCCCCGTGGGGAATCGAACCCTCAGCTTTTGGCTCTGCAGACTGATACATAAACCACAGAGCTATCAAGCCAGCTAGACAGGTGGAGGTAGAGGTAGAGACAGAGGATGGGTGTGTGTGCGTGCACTTTGAGTATCCACGCTTTGAACATGTTTGATGTTCCTGGAGTTAATCCAATAAAGGATAACGTGCAGTTCTGTGTGTCAGTTCACACAGAAATAGAGACGCGTCCTCTGACCCATCCCTTATCCCTCGTGTTGCACTCAGAGGCTGACTGCATTTATTTCATTTCCTCTTGCTATGGGTATCCTACCATTGCTTGCAAAGCTGTGACAACCTCCAGTTCCAAGCAGGAAAAGTCTAAACACCTCTGCCTTTCTTCTCTATTCTGGTCACGAGCTATCCAGCGCTCTGATGGCTGGAAGGGGAGAGTCAACATCCCTTCCCCATTTCCCAGTTTTAGCCAAAATAACTCCCCCATCCTGCTACAGACAAGCACTAAGAGGGGTCCTATAGCAATCAAGAATGTAAGAAGAGGTATTAAGGTGGCTGAACCAGTGCATACCGAATGCCCCATTTTGAGAAAGATCTTTGCTGGATGACAGCGCTGGGAACCAATCTCCTCCCCTATCATTCAAGCCCTGAGTGGTCCATCGTAAAGCATGGAGAGACAGAAAAAAATGGACCAAAATATGAGGAATCCCTTGTTGTAGAGTTTTGAATTTTGGGTTAGATTCTGCTCGCTCTGCAACAGAAGTTAAGGGATTGGTGGAGTGAAATAGCTTCAAGTTCTCAAGAGTTGTTGTTTAGTCATTGTGTCCGACTCTTCGTGACCTCGTGGACCAGAGCACGCCAGAGTAGTCCACCCCTTTTCCTCATCAACTGGCACTTACAGTTTCAACAACGCACTCTAAGACATTTGTAGTAGAATGAATGTGTAGTTTTATCACGTACAGTTGAACAGATCATACAGCAAACAAGACTGCTTTCAGCAACAGGCTTCACAGACTCAAGAGAGGGGGAAAGCTCAGGGCTCTCTTAGAAATCAAAGGAATGATTGGTTAGTGCTGGATAGATTGGCAGCCGCCTCAGCCCAGAAAAGGTCCCTCTCAGCCGAACGTACTAAAGGCAGCATGCACGGCTGTAAAACGTCAACATCCCTTTGTTACAGAAAACGATGGAGTTGTTATTGAAGGGAATAAAGTAGCAACCCAGTAGGATGTTTTCCTGATCAATCCCCTCAGGATGGATGGAAGACATGTCAGAACCCATTTGATGCTCACCAGCCGAGTTGTTCCTGTCCTCAGACACCGCAACATTTTGTTGGCATTGAGGGCGGAGGGCAGAAATTCTGCAGAGCAAATGTCAAGTTTGGGAAAGCTCCTGTTTGCATGACGGATCCCAGATTCCCCCAGCTGTCTGCTGGAGGACCTCCGGGTGGTAAAAACCAACAAGGGTAACTTTTCCTAGCTCCGGCAAATGTCAGCATTTCAGAAAGGACAAGCGTGGACATGTGAATGGATGCATTTAAAAGGGGGTTGGGATTCATGTCCTTTTAGAAGTATACTTATTCTACGCTCGCTTTGGTGTAGCGGACAGAGTGATGGGCTAGGACTCAGGAGACCTCGATTTGAATCCCTGCTGGTCTATGGAAACTCACAGATGTGTGGAAGAATTGCTCAAACGATTCCTTAAATATCTCACTAATCTCGAAAGCCCAGTTAGGGTCAATGTAAGCTGACCCCAACTTGACAGCACATCACAGACAGACAGACAGACAGACAGAGAGGCGTCCTTATAGTGAGTCAAGAGAATGGTAGTTCGAAACCAGCCTCTTGTAGTCGGGCACACTCCTGGCATGCTGGACTACAACTTCTATCATCCTCAACCAGCTGGGAAAAATGGAAGCAGCCCTCTAGCCCTTCTGGAAAGTTCTGCATCCAGGAAAGCTATGGTTAATTATCACTGTCAACTCCAGCATGTGGCAAGTTTTGAACCCACCTCTTACTGCTCTCTAAGAACTAATACAGAAGTTAGGCTCAGCAGCTGCTGTACACCAACCCACCCTTTTATTAATGTTTTGCTAGGCATGATGCTTTTTAAATGGCCCGTTTGGTTAAGATCCACCCATTGAAAATGATTTTGATTTCTTAATGATAAACCCCTGGCCAAGGTTCCCGCTAAGCTGGGCCTGCACATCCATCTCTACCTCCCTGCGCACAGCTGTCTTCCTCCTCTGCACAGCGATCGTGTTAGGTTCCGGTTGTGATGGACCCCTGTGTGTGCTGGGGGGGGGGCAAACCATGCATGCACACAGGGGTGAAGTTGTGTGAGAGAGGGGCGGAGGGCCCACCCGCTCAGAAGGGCTGAAAATTAGAGGGCACATTGCCCCTGGCTCATCCTATAGCCAAGGTCCCCCAGCAGAATCAAAACTGCAGGTACTTGGATTGACCCATATTGGGGGAGAAACAGCTGTAGCACTTTTCATCTCACCAGGAACAGATGGTTTGTAGTGCTAATGGATCCTAGTTATCCATTCAGGATACCAAGCCCCTCCAAACATGATAAGCCCCTCAACAGGAATGGTTCATAATAAAAGCTACAGTTTCTGGGAAACTCAAATATTCTGTGATTCTATTTGCAGCCTCTAAATGCCGCCGTTTGTTCGTTCGTTCATTCATTTGTTCATTCGTTTGTTCATTAATTCGTTCATTCATTCATTTTGCAGCAAAAGAAGGTGACCTGAGACGAGACGTCCTCTCCGCACAGCGGCCACGTTGAAGCATGTTGACCAGGATCAGCTCGAGCCCCTTTCCAGAGCGTCAGCTTCTAATTGCGGAGAATGATGAACAAGAATACCCTAGATGGAAATCAAGCCCGGCGCCATTCATGACGGAAGGCGCTTCTCCGCCCACTGAACCCGACCGGCCTCCCACCACCAAGGCCGGCAACTTGACGGACTGTGGGGAAGACCTTCTGCTCTATGGGGACACTGAGAAAATAGTCATCGGGACCGTCCTCTCCGTCATCACCCTCTTGACCATCGCCGGCAACAGTCTGGTCATCATCTCCGTGTGCATCGTCAAAAAGCTCCGGCAGCCGTCCAACTATCTCGTGGTCTCCTTGGCAGCGGCCGACCTCTCCGTGGCCGTGGCCGTCATGCCCTTCGTCATCATCACAGACTTGGTAGGAGGGGAATGGCTCTTCGAGGAGCCCTTCTGCAATGTCTTCATTGCCATGGACGTCATGTGTTGCACGGCCTCCATTATGACCCTCTGTGTCATTAGCGTGGACAGGTGAGGACCTATTTATGCTCCAGATAATGGGTGTGGCTTTTGTTATGTGTGATCCTAGGAGGGTTTTCAAGCTGTCTGGATAGTTCAGTAGTTTAGGTCTCTGGCTGTGGAGCCAGAGGTTAGGGGTTCGATTCCTGCAGTATGTCTCCTGCGAGTAGAGCCAGCCTGGGTGGCCTTGGGCCAGCTGCACACAGTCCCAGGGTGCCCCCTAGAGGAAGGGAAGGGTAAAAACCACTTCTGAGTACTCTGTGCTTGGAAAACCCTGGAAAAGGTCATCATAAGTCAGAATTGACTTGACAGCACAGGATTAATATTATTATTAGAACAGGTAAGGGGGACTTTTGAGTTGTTTTAATGCCTTGGGTCCGTTCAAGGAAAAAAAGGCTGGGCAAAAAAATATTCTAAATAAATAAATAAATACAATTCAAGGGAAAAAGGCTGGGCAAAAAAAATATTCTAAATAAATAAATACATTTTCAAAGAAAAATATTGAAGGGGGAAATGGGTCAGATGGAGGGCTTGAGGCAGAGCTTGGACTTTGGGAAGTCACGCACGCCCAGAAGATCCAACTCTCCCCACCCACCTTGACCCTCTCTAGATGTTCTGGACTACAGCACCTACATTCCCCAGTCAGGGAGTGAATAGTGGCAATTGTCATCCCAAATTTTTCAGAGGGTACCAGGCTGGGAAAGTCTGTCCTCCTCCATTTCCTCCCACGCTATAAGATAACAGTTTCAAACATGCCAGTTTTACTCTTGTACCTAGCTAAAAATCACTCCTGGATAGCTACTCCTCAGTGCTTTTTTTAATCCACCCTAATAAATTCACATCCGTGTGGGTTTTTTTCTCTAGACAGATTCCTTTTCAAAAGACCTTCACTTAAGGAAGAAGCGACATCTCAGTAAAAATAGTAAGGAGCCACTTAAAGTTAATTGTGCAAATAACAGTGTCGTCTAGGAAGGCAGAGGCAGGCGTGTGGAATTCATTGCCGGTTCCAACCCGCATATATTTAATTTTTGAAGCTCCTGTTCAGTGGAGCCATAAAGTCTGAGGCATGAAGATTTATTTTGTTTATTCATTTCCAACAGGTCTATGTTGCCCTCCGAAATAAATAAATACTCTAAGAAATAGAACGGAACAGGCAGTTTAGTGAAGGTCGCCCACCCTATGCCGTGTTAAGCTCTTAAATTTATCATTGCCTTATTAAAAAAGCAATCTATGATGAAGTTGTCGCTTACGTTATAGGAATCCCATAAAATACCAGCTCTCTCTGGTCCAGAAATTACAAGACCTGGGTCCAAAATTCAGCCCCTTCTTCCTGTCCTCCAGGTCCCTCTTGTAAACATAAAAACCCACAGCAGAGGTTCTGAGGACTTCCGCGGGCGAATCTCATAAGCGCACTCATGTGGCTGGGTGCGCAAGGATGATGCATACTGCCTTTGGAACAACATTGGTACTTTGACAGTGGCCATGATGTAATGGAACCAGGCTGGAAGGGTCAAAGGGCTGTGGATTTTTAGAGTAGGAGGGACAGTTGCATTGTGTGTCACACACACCCTCCTGGGTCTCCCCCTGAACGTAGCTGCAACAGAGATGCATGCATTTGTTAATGATAATCATGTCCCGTCAAGTCAATTCTGACTTATGGAGACCCTTTTTAGGGTTTTCCAAGTTGAGTCTACTTAGAAGTGGTTTTTACCATTCCCTTCCACTAGGGGCGCTGTGGGACTGCGCAGCTGGCCCAGGGCCACGCAGGCTGGCTCTATTCACAGAAGGGACCGTGGGGATTCAAACTCCCAACCTCTGTCTCTTCAGCCAGATACCCAAACCACTGGGTTATCCGCCCTGATATGCATTTATTAATCACATTTATATCCTGCCTTTCTCCCACTGAGCTGTTCCTCAAGGCCCTGCTTCTCTCTACTTTTTCTTCACATTGATCCAGAGAGGAAGGCCGAGATGAAAGAGAGAATACCTGCCCCCAAATTCATGCGGTCCGTTTTATGGGAAAATTCTGCCACAACACCACTACACCTCTCCTGGTGCGTTAGAAAGGAACGCCTTTCTTTTCTCAATTTAGCACACAGCTTCACAACGGCTTCATTCAGGTCTTCTATAAAAACAGACAAAAACTGGAAACTGTTTATCTCATGAATTCTTAGCACTCTTTCCAGTCAAAAAACAGAGTAACCGTGTCTTTCTCCTCTTATATATTTCCTTTAGTTATAGAGAAGTTAGAAAAATTAGGACAATTACATGCCCTCCGTTGGATTCAAACTTATGGGAACACTTGCCGGTGTTTCGTGCTCCCTCCCCTTCTTCTCGGAATGCCCTGGGGCTGTACAGCTTGCCCAAGGCTACAAAGGTTGGGTTTTTTCTCCCAGAAGGTCCTGTGGGGAATCGAACTCCTAACCCTTGGCTCGGCAGCCCGAGACCTAACTCACCGTGCTATCAAAAATGGTTTTTAAAACATGGCATAGACTCCTTTCTTCTTGTGCCAGCTTCCAATCCTTCCATGACATGGTACAAGGTGTATCTTGGGTCTGACGCCACCGTCTTCTTGGATCAGATTTGTTCTTTTGTGAACAAAACCCACCAGACGTTTGCTATGACCATTGAAACCAGAAAAAAAAAAAACTGTTTTACCAATGTTGATGAAGGCCAGCTGCCCGTTCTGCCTTTGTTTTGCTAGATTCGTTTTTTTATTTTTTGGTCTTCCCAAAACAGCCTTTTCTTTTGGGGGGTGAAAACCGGGGGTAACGATGGAGGTGCCAAGACTCAAGAAAGCTTACCTTGGATCTCTCGTCGTCTTGATTCTGCAACAAAACGGGTGACAAAAATATCCTGTCCTGCTGCAAGGGGATTAATTAGCAAAGTGCTTTTGTCTGCCTGATCCATCATCTGCCTGCATCAATCTGGCATCTCTCTGGCTCACAGATCGAGACTACCCCTTGGTCCATCTCAAAGCCCAAAGGTTTAAAACAAATATTAAATCCCCACGGTGGTTTGGGAAGACAAGGCGATGTATTGGAGGTGAGCGAGATGTCAATAGGATAAAGCACGGGCCGGTGGGAGCGTCAGCAGTTGGACCGACATTGAGCACAATCTGGCTCTTTGAAAGATGCAGCCTGCCCTTCAGATCGTTTGCCAGGAGCAGGAGAGAGGGAGATGGGGCCAGCGGGACACGTAAAGGAAAAGGAGGGCAAAGGCCTTCTGGGTTGGATCCAGACTTTGCTGTGCCTAGTGAAGCCCACAGACCGAAACAGGGTGCATTTGTCATCGTGATTCGCTCCCACTCCCATTGATTTCTGTGGGCCTATCGTAAGGATAGGCCCATTGAAAACCCTGAGGATAGGCCCATAGAAAACCCAAGCCAGAGGTTGGGAGTTCGATTTCCCCCTTGGCCTCCTTGGCAGGGGATGGGCTAGATGATCCACAGGGTCCCTTCCAGCTGTGCAGTTCCATGCTTATTGAATTATTGTATAAAATAAATGAGAGGAGGGTTGCTTAAATTACAATGGTAGGGGTTTTTTGCAGTAAAAAACACATCATGATGATGATGATGATGATGATGATGATGATGATGATGATGATGATGATGATGACGACGACGACGACTGCAATATTATGCCACAATGCACAGGGAGATAACTTTTATATCTATAGTTCTTACAAGCAAGAATGAAATAAGAGTCTCACATGACCTTTATGTGTTAACCCTCAGAATAATGATTTTAAGGGATTTGAGAGGCAGCCCTTTTTGACCATTTTTTTTGTATTTTAGAGCTTTGCTTTTTAAAAAAATGAAAATTAAGAGCTTAGGGACAAAGAGTCTAGTAACACCTTAAAGACTAACACGTTTTCTTTGGTGTAAGGTTTGTGGACTATCGTTCTCGTAGATTTGAAGAAAAGGGCTACAATCTGTTCAGTTCTTGTTAGTTATTAAGCAGTCACAAGACAAATTTTTCCATCCCTCCAGTGGACTACAGACTAATAAGAGTACCCCTCTAGAGCAACATCTTACTAATGTGTTGTCAGTTACATGCACTGTAAAGAAAAACAAGGAATATGAGTTCTCTATGATTCCCACCCACACCCAACACAAATCAAATCACAAAATGCTAATGTGTTCGCTTTTTTAAATCCCCGGCTGTTTCAAAGACTGCACTTGCTGGTAAGTATTTTGGGACTTTGCTAACCGATTGCGTTTTCTTACCCTTGACCGTACTCCTTACTGTGAACTGTTGGAGCTTACAGGAATGCTACCATATTTTTTGGTGCATAAATCTATACTTTTGCCTAAAATTTTTAGACTAAAAATTGAGGGTCATCTTGGAAGTAAGCTGAGGAGAGAACAAAAACAAATGGAGGGGAAAGCAGGGATCAAATTGTTCCTGCAGGGCTTTGATCCCTGCTTTCCCCTCCACTTGTTAATCCTTAGCAAAAAGAAAGAAGGGATCATCACACTGCAGGGTCGCTTTGATCCCTGCTTTCCCCTCTGCTTGCTAAGTCGCATGGGGCTTATCAAAAGGAGCGGGGAAAGGATCAAAGCAATTCCATGGGTGTATAAGGGGAAATTGATCACAATGATTGTGCAGTTGTGGGATTGCTTTGATCTCTTTACCCTTCTTTTTGCTAAGCCCCACGGGGCTTAGCACGAAGGGAGAAAGCAGGGATCAAAGTGATCCGGCAGCACTTTGATCCCTTTCCCCCTACACTTGCTAAGCCCCACTTAGATTTCTTAATTTTGGGTTAGAAAAGTGGGGGGTGTCTTATACATGGGGGCATCTTATACATGGAAAATACGGTACATATTTCTCAATAGACTCTGTACACTGGGGTTTGCCTTTTTAAGATTATTCCCCCTCCCCACTTAATATAAGCAGGAGGGGAAAATACAGCCATGTTCAGACTAGCAATCTTCGATGCATATTTTCCAGGTACCTGGGAATAACACGACCTTTAACCTACCCCGTGAGACAAGACGGGAAGCTGATGGCCAAGATGGTGTTCATTGTCTGGCTCCTCTCAGCCTCCATCACTCTCCCTCCTTTATTCGGCTGGGCTAAGAACGTCACGGAGGACAGGGTGTGCCTCATCAGCCAGGACTTTGGTTACACCGTCTATTCCACGGGCGTCGCCTTCTACATCCCCATGACGGTCATGCTGGTGATGTACAGCCGGATCTATAAGGCAGCCAAAGCGAGCGCCGAGAAACATCGGTTCATGGACTTCCCCAGATCCTACGAGCCAGGCGGCGCCTACTGCATCGAAGGGGGCGGCCTTCGACACCAGCGTAGCACCCGGCGGATCAAGGCGGCCGAAGAGTGCGCCACCTTTTCCAGGCTCCTCCACCAAGATCGCAAGAACATCTCCATCTTCAAGAGGGAGCAAAAAGCAGCCAGGACCCTTGGCGTCATTGTGGGCGCCTTCACTTTCTGCTGGCTTCCGTTCTTCTTGATGTCCACGGCCAGGCCTTTCCTCTGTGGCAGCCAATGCAGCTGCGTTCCCCTGAGGCTGGAGAGGACCCTTCTGTGGCTGGGCTACACCAATTCCCTCATCAACCCATTGATCTACGCCTTCTTCAACCGGGACCTGAGGACTACCTTCTGGAGCCTGCTGCGCTGCAGCTATCGCAACATCAACCGGAGGCTCTCGGCCGCCAGCATGCATGAGGCCCTGAAAGCCACGGAGAAGCACGAGGGCATACTTTAAAGTGTGCTGAGTATATAACACCCCATTGCACTTAAAGTGCTCTCCAAGTGGTCCACAACTGAATTATGTAGGCGTACACATTGCCCCCATGCTTAGCGAGCTGGGTACTCGATTTACCAGCCTCAGAAAGATGGAAAGCTTAGTCCGCTTTGAGCCAGCTACTGGATTCCATCAGGATCCAACTCAGGCTGTGAGCAGAGTCTTCCCTGCACTACTGCGGTTCAACCACTGCACCACAAGGGCCCTTTGGCTGTTGCCGTTCTTGGCATGGAAACGGCTACATACTCATCAAGGAAGCGAGACTCTGCTGTGACTGCCCATCTACCTGAGACGGAAAGCTTAGTCCGCTTTGAGCCAGCTACTGGATTCCATCAGGATCCAACTCAGGCTGTGAGCAGAGTCTTCCCTGCACTACTGCGGTTCAACCACTGCACCACAAGGGCCCTTTGGCTGTTGCCGTTCTTGGCATGGAAACGGCTACATACTCATCAAGGAAGCGAGACTCTGCTGTGACTGCCCATCTACCTGGGAAGGTGAAGACGGTCAAGGTTCAGAAGCATCAACAGGTTGAGCATTTTGGGTGGTTGCCAGTGGGTGTCAAATTTTGGGGGTGGGGGTGGGAGAAGCTTTAAAAATGAATCTACAGGTGGTACTAATTCATTGGTTTTTTAAAACCAAGCTTCCGTGACATATTTTTTATGTTGACCACTAGTGATACAGAGCAAAAAAAAAAGGAACACCGAATGTGTTCCTGTTTCTAAGATCTATCATAGATGGTTTTCTTATGTCCCATGGGTAAGATGACTCTGTACAAGTCATTCTGCTGTAACAGTGATATTTTATTGACAATAATAATCATTATCAAGTTGATTTTGACTTACGGCAACCGTTTCTGGAATTTTCCCAGTAGAGAAACACTCAGAAGCGGCTTCCATTTCCCTTCTTCCGGGGGATAAATCCTGGGACTGCGCAGCTTGCCCAAGGCCACCTAGGCTGGCTCTACTCACAGGGAGGCCCCGTCGGGGAATCAAACCCCCAATCTCTAGCTCAGCAGCCCGAGACCTAAACCACTCTCCGGCCAAGTATTTTGTTGATATCAACCAGAAAAGAGAGAAAGGATCTAATGTGGTTTTTGAGTCCAAGAGGAAAGGAAAACTGAGAGGGGAGACAGCCGCACACTAAGTTTTTATATTTAAAAAATTGAAACATGTTTCTAAGCGAAAGGAGAGTTGTGTATCACACAGCCTGAGGAAGTTCCTTTTTCCGACTGTAATTCCGAAAGCTCTCAGTTGGAAAGTTGCCGTGCTTACTGGCAGATTCTGAGTGTCATCATCCAAAAATTAACTTTTGCAGGGACTGGCATGTGATGGATACACCAGCATTGATGATCAATGCAAACCATAGACATCGTCTACTGTAACCCAGCACAGCCCTTCCAATAGCTTTCCTAAGGGGCAGCGTAACAAGGTCGTGGTTTGATGCCAAAATGCCATGGCACAGCTCACATCCTCTATGCTGAATTTTTTTTGTCTTCCATGATTGCTGCGGCAGACCCCTGGCTGGCGAAGAAAATCAGGCTGAAGCCCCAGAACTCGACATGCTGAATTTCTCTCTCTTCCTACGCAAATTGAAAACTAAACATGCACGCTCCCATGTAAAGCACCATCAAACGTGCCATAAACATGGGCCAAAAAGAGGAAAGAGAGCAAGATTTCTAGCAAATGGAGGCCATGGCACCACCCTCTTACACCTAGGAAAGAACAGAAGGAACAGCATTCACTGTAACATGTAACTTTGGGGGATAATGATGTTACCAGCATCCTTATTTTTAAACAGAACACGGAGGCTGGAAAGATAATTATATTTTCTTACATAATAAATACAATTTATTCACGACCTCACACATTTTGGGACCACTTCGGGGCAAGAAGCACTTAAAAGAATAATAATTATTATTATTATTCCAAAAATACCAGGCGCAGTGAATCAAAATTATAAAAAACATTGACTGGTATTATATAACAGACCCAACTTTTAACCAAAAAACCTAAGTATCTGTTAAATATCAGCACAGTATTTACAAATGTGCGGCTCTGTCTATATACTGTGGCAAGATACAAAAACTAGGTGAAATAGTGTTTTTAAATAGCGATATTATAAAACCACTATCCAGTGATGAAAATTATAACTACCTTGGAATATGAAAATGGCAGTATTATAAAACCACTATTCAGTGATGAATATGATAACTACCTTGGCATATGGGAAGCAGATCTCAGAAACCACGCCACCCGATCTACAAAAAAAAAGGCAATATTAGGAACAGCCTTATATATTGCGCCGATATTTAACACGGTAAGACTGGGAAGCAGAGCTCAGAAACCACGACACCAGGTCTACAAAAAAAATGGCAATATTAGGAACAGCCTTATGTATTGCGCCGATATTTAACACGGTAAGACTGCAACGTCTGCTTGTAATGTGTCAACAGCCACTTAAATCCATTTAAGTCCAATACTGTCTGCTTTGAGTGGTGACAGTCTGCAAGATTGTCACCCCCCCAGCACAGCCACTTAGAATTCTGGGAGTTGTAGTTTAAATGGTATTTTGATGTATTGTGACCCAATACATCAAAAAGGGAGTGCATAGCTCATTCCCCACTCAAAGAATTAAATCCTTTTCCTTAGCCTTTTTCTGACAAGCTTTCTGCTTCCTTTCGGACTCCTACCCACACATTGAGATCCACTGATGTATCGGTTTGTTTCCTGGTTCATGGCTAAACCCCTTTGGTATCCCAAAATGAGATTTGCAAGGGAGCAACGATGCTTTATGTCCGCACAGTGGTTTCAAAATGAAATATGCAATATATATGAAATAAAGAGCATGATGCATAGGGGTGGAAAACTGTTATCCATTCTCAGGGGCAAATTCGGGAACATGGGAATGCGGTTGTGATAGTGGGGATGGAATTCTACCTGCCCTGCCACAGAAAGGAGCCATGAAAAACTGCTCTAAGAAATTCTTGCCGATTAACCGTCCCACTCCACCCCATTTTCAAATACTTTTGAGAGGAACCATACTTGAATGACAGGATCCGAAGTGAAAACGTCAAAGCCCTCTTCCTACGCGTCCAAAGAGATTCCGATCCGATTTCAGGAGTTCAGGCTTCAGAAGAACACCCACCACCAACCCACCCATGCAAGAGAGGTACACGTGGCCGATTATCAGAACAAAACACCGCGTCCTCATCCATTCCCTGAAGACAAAAGGTTGAGTTTATCCTTCTGTTCCCGCCATCTTGTTCTAACTGACAAGACACTTTCGCGAGTGTCTCTCACACGCTCTTGAAAGCACGCCAGGTACCATTTGGGAAGCTTTTTTGCCACATGGAGACATGATGTACTGTGTTTGTTTACATATTTATTTTGTAAATAATAAATATGTACTCCTGAGCCACATTTAATCCTTTCATTGATCTGGGTTGGCAGACAACGTTGAGGGTTTAAAATCCCACCCAATATGTCCCGAAAGGCTCACTCTCTGTCTTTTGACCCGGTCTCTCCGAGGAACCTGAGGCTAAGCCAACATCACCGACAAGTGAGCGGCTCCCACTTGTGAACCATGCCTCCATGTTATTGTTGTTTAGTTGTTTAGTCATGTCCGACTCTTCATGACCCCATGGACCAGAGCACACCAGGCCCTCCTGTCTTCCACTGCCTTCAGGAGGAAAGGCTCACTCTCTGTCTTTTGACCCGGTCTCTCCGAGGAACCTGAGGCTAAGCCAACATCACCGACAAGTGAGCGGCTCCCACTTGTGAACCATGCCTCCATGTTATTGTTGTTTAGTTGTTTAGTCATGTCCGACTCTTCATGACCCCATGGACCAGAGCACACCAGGCCCTCCTGTCTTCCACTGCCTTCAGGAGTTTGGTCAAATTCATGTTGGTCACTTCGGTGACCGTGTCCAACCATCTCGTCCTCTGTTGTCCCCTTCTCTTGCCTTCACACTTTCCCAACATCAGGGTCTTTTCCAGGGAGTCTTCTCTTCTCATGAGATGGCCAAAGTATTGGAGCCTCAGCTTCAGGATCTGTCCTTCCAGCTTTGATTTCCTTCACAATGGTGAGGTTTGTTCTCATTGCAGTCCAGGGGACTCTCAAGAGCCTCCATAGTCCATCCTAAATCTGTGCACATCAGAGAAATGCAAAAAAGAGAACCGCACCATCATGAAGAAACTGCCAACTGGCCTGTTTCCCACCTAAGCTCCATTGTGATATGATCTACCCCTGTATATATTCTCTCCACTGTATCATCATTTCCGGTGTCCTCCTACACGTGGAAGGCAATGTATCAGAAGAGGAAAACTTCAACAGTCTCAGGGGGGCTTCTAAGGATAGTCGGCATCTTGACTCATGGTAAGAGTCCATGGACAGTATTGCTCTCCCTGTTGAGACACATGGAGTCCATGGTTTGGAAAAGCATTAAATCATGTGATAACCTCCATCTGGTATCTAAGGCTGGAGCCTGTTGAAGCACTTCATTGAGATGTCACTCCAGACAGAGCTCGAGATACTGGCTTCTTCTACTTCTCCAAATATCACAAATATTTCTGAATATTATGTACTTTTGCATCAAGAAATGGGATTCCCTGAGACATACGCACCTCAGCAAGCTGACTCATAAGTTCAACCCGTGTTTGCCTTCCAGTGACCAATGACAAAACAAAGCATGCTAAATCCAAGATACATGAGTGAAGAAATGCTATGAGTAACATAGATTTTTTTCTGGTACACAAGGGAGTGGAAAAATCTGTGTTTTCTCAACTGAAAGGACATTACTTAAGTCACTGGGGAATGAATGCTAGAACAGGACCCTTTCCGCAGCATTTGTCCTGGTTGCCTGATCAAAACAAGGATTTGATTTTAAAATACTGGGTGGGCCCCATCAAAAGACGTCATAACCATGAGAAATGGATACTGAGCTAGTTGTGTGTTTTTTTTATACTTGCTGAGTTTTTCCAGCCTTTTGCTTTTTTTATTTTTTAAAGGTCCTGGAAAGAGGAAACTCGGCCGGCCGTGTGAGATCCTCTGTAAATAAAGAGAACAAATTAAACACAGGTGTTCCTGATTTGCTGATCAATATGCTGGTTATTCTAATTTCCTGGATGCTTGCAGTGCTTCCAGGCAATGGATGAAATGTCAACCTTCCCTGAGGCACATTTGGGTGGGAGACCTACATAACAGAGAGCAGCGTCCATGATCATAGGTCGCATGCTGCCACCCTGCTCCTGTTTCATTCATTAGGAACATTTA